TTAGCCTTATTTGCAATCGGATCACAAAACTTTAATTAGAGCAATCGTCAACATCCTTATATATTTGGCGGCATGCTTGTTTAAAAGCGGCGAACCATAGTCATCAAATTATCTATGAGGGTGTTTGGTGATAATTAAAATTAAATTTTTTAATAAATTATGATAGAAGTTTTTGAAATGTGTGGTTAAAAAGTTGTGAGATCCATAAAAGACGTAGTTAATATTGATTGTTTAATTTTGATTTTAAATTAAAATTAGATTTTAATCCGTACCAAACTGACTCTATGTTCTCAAATTATAAATTACCACTCTTTGGAAAATTTATAAATGATTTACAAATAAAAAATAGTAGTGGATCTCATAAAATATATGAATAATAAGTGATGATTCCAGATCTCGTTAGTCTCGAACTCGACCACTTGACCCCGATCACACCCTACAACCCCGACCTATGCATCCTCTAAAAACACCAAAGCAAGCTCAGGCATTTAAGGTCGGGGTGTGTGTGTGTCGACTCATCAACCTTCATGTGTGACATATGGAAGCACTAATTCTACCTTGAACACAATCCCTACCTTGATAGACTCCTTCTTTGACTCAAACAGTGATTCGAATACTTAAGGTGAAACACCAACTCCGTTTCCTACGAGGAGAAGAATTGTGGCAGAATCAGTCCTCATAGGACTCCACCACTGGCACCTATAAATACACAACCTATGCTCATTCCAAAGGTACGTTTTTCATTATTATCCTCAATTTATAACCTCACGCATTAAATTCCCTATCTGACTTAAGCATCGGAGGGGCGACGAGCACACATCTCGTTGCCTTTGTTTCAGGTACTGGAAGGCGCAGTTCGTGTTCCATCCCAGTAATCAAGCTCGAGATCTTCAGATGATATTTTTTGGTAGCATCATTGGCGCCGTCTGTGGGAACTTCACTACCAAAAGCCATGGTCAATACACGTTCAGGTCTTCCTCCAGCAAGCTCATCCGTCCCAGATAACCCTCCATCTCCTGAGGAACACCATATTCCTCAAGAAGAGTCGTCGGAGATGCTAGCACCTCCTCAAGCTGTTGTTTCCGCCGGAGCTTTTGAGGAACTTCGCCGGCAGGTGGTTGCATTAACCCAACTGCTAAGTCAGAGAAATTTGCATCCATCACACACCCCGACACCTGAAGGTGGCTTTATGGCAGATGCCCGGACTCGGGTTCATCATGCAGCCCATGATGACGGTGGGGTTAGAACCTCAGGGGTCCCACAAGTTGCATCAGGTTCAAGGTCCGTTACAATAGAATCCGTCGAACTGGCAAGAATTATTCAAGAAGAGATAGCAGCGAGTATGCAACAAAATACTCGGGCAGCAACAGGGTTCACCCCCACTACTCCATTCACTCCAAAAGTCCTCTCGTACCCCCTTCCTGATAGGTTCAAGTATCCTTGGATAAAGGAGTACGACGGGACAACCGACCCCATCAATCATCTCAATGTATACACGGATATCATGAACTTACAGGTTGCACCAGATGCGGTAATGTGCAAGGCATTCTCCCAAACCCTCACGAATGCAGCTAGAGATTGGTTTTCCACATTGAAACCGAACCCCATCACCTCCTTCTCAGATTTAGCTGATAAGTTCTCCGCTTTCTTTGCGAGCAGCAAACGAATCAGAAAGACAGCCGCATCGCTCATGCAGATGCATCAAAGACCCAATGAAACACTGCGCAGTTTCATGACCAGGTTCAATAAAGAAAGGCTTCAGATCCCCAATCTACATATCACAGCTGCAGTCTCAGCTTTGACTTACGCCATTAAGTGCAAAGTTTCAAAATGTCCTCGTCTAAAACCCCGTCGAAGTCAGTAACCGAGCTACTCACACGGGCTGAGAAATACATCAATATGGAAGAAACCATGGCCCCAAAAAGGGAAGTTACCTCATCAGGGAAGTTAGATCAGAAAAGGCTACATGAGTCCAGCTTAAGACAAGAGACACCTAGGGTCAAACAAAGGAAGGATCCACCTTCAACGGCTTTTACCCATCTGAACACTTCGAGGTCCAACATCCTGATGGAAATCAAGGACTCTAGGGAACTGAAATAGCCTTCCCAATTGCGGTCTCCCCCCGATACTCGTGACAAGAGTAAATACTATGATTTCCATAGAGATCACGGCCATACAACAGAAGACTGTCTGGCCTTAAAGCGGGAAATCGAAGCTCTTATAAGAAGGGGATTTCTGAGCTCTTACGTTAACAATGACAAACTCCCGAGGAATTACCAAAACGGGGAGAAAGGCCCAGAGGATCGAGGAAACAAGCAACCAACTGCAGGCACTATCAATATCATTGTCGGAGGAACAGCCTCGAGAAGGGACTCTAGCAGTGGGCGAAAACAATATGCCAGGCAGCCACCAATCATCTCAAGACCAGATCTTGGTCGTACAGAGGACATCAGTTTTGGAATGGACGACTTGGAAGGCATAGCATTCCCCCATGATGATGCCCTTGTCATATCGGCCATCATCGCCAACTTTGAAGTCAAGAGAATTCTGGTAGATAACGAAAGTGCAGCAAACATGCTGTCTCACGAAGCTTTTGTTCAAATGGGGATCTCATCAGAACAACTAAAGCCAGTAAAAACACCCTTCCAAGGGTTTGGAGGTAGGGTCATCACCCCGGAAGGTATCGTCGGGTTACCCTTAACATTGGGAGCCGAAGGTGAACATGTGACACAAATCACTAACTTTGAAGTCGTCCGTACGCCAATGGCTTACAACGCCATATTGGGAAGACCAATGCTCAACAGAATTTGAGCTATTGTCTTAACTTTTCACCTGGCTATGAAATTCCCTACTCCTAATGGCATCGAGGTAGTCCAAGGCAACCAAACGGTGGGCCGACAGTGTTATGTGACTAGTGTTCGAAAAATAAAAAATGACGTCATGCAAGTTATAAAGCTCGAGCTCGAGCACGAAAATTACGGAAGGCTGGCTCCGGTAGAAGGATTGGAGGAGGTCGAGATCGAGCCTGGAAGAAAAGTGACAGTTGGTCGGGGGTTAGATACAGAGATCATGGCTGAACTTCTAAGTTGTCTCTCCCGGAACATTGATGTATTCGCTTGGAATGTTGAGGACATGCCTGAAATTGATCCAGAGGTTGCAGTACATGGTCTTAACGTGAACACGGAAGCAAGACCTATGAAGCAAAGGAAGAGGCAGTTTGCACCGGAAAGACTAGAAGTCATAAAAGAGGAGATTACCAAACTCCTTAATGCACAGTTCGTTTGAGAGGTACAATATCCCGAATGGCTTGCCAATATGGTTCTTGTCAAGAAAGCTAATGGAAAGTGGCGAGTTTGTATTGACTTCACGGATCTAAATAAAGCATGCCCCAAAGACAGTTATCCCTTGCCTAGAATTGACAATCTCGTAGATAGTACGTCAGGTCATATGCTGTACAGCCTCTTGGATGCTTTCTCGGGGTATCACCAAATTCTCATGGCAAAAGAAGATCAAGAGAAGACCTCGTTCATGGCAAATTCAGCTATCTACTGCTACAGGGTCATGCCCTTTGGTTTGAAGAATGCTGGAGCAACATATCAAAGGTTAGTGAACAAGATCTTTGCCAAGCTAATTGGGAAAACAGTCGAAGTGTATGTGGATGATATGGTGGTCAAGAGCAAACAGTCGAATAACCATGTTTCTGATCTAGATGAAGCGTTTGCTACGTTACGGAGGTACAACATGAAGCTCAACCCGGCAAAATATGCATTTGGGGTGGCATCTGGAAAATTCTTGGGTTTTATGATCACACACAGAGGAATAGAGGCAAATCCCGATAAAATCCAAGCTCTGATAAGTATGGAGGCCCCTAAATGCAAAGGGACATTCAGAAGTTGACAGGTCGCATAGCAGCACTAAACAGGTTTGTTTCCCGGGCAGCTGACAGGTGCTTCCCCTTTTTCAAACTACTTAGGGAAAATAAAGGGTTCGACTGGAACGAGGAATGCAACTTAGCTTTTCAGGAGCTTAAACAAACGTTATCAACGCCTCCAATCCTTACTAAACCCGAACCCGGTGACACGCTGCTATTATACTTGGTTGTTTCTCATAATGCAGTAAGCGGTGTCTTGGTAAAGGAAAAAGGAAGAGTTCAGCAACCTATCTACTATGTAAGTAAAGTGCTCCTCGATGCAGGAACACGATATACACTTGCGGAACAGCTCGCCCTTGCTTTAGTAATGACTGCTAGAAAATTACGGCAATACTTCCAGTCACATCCAATTGTTGTGCTCACCAACCAACCTCTTAGACATATACTTCAGAAGCCGGACGTCTCAGGAAGACTGCTGAAATGGGCAATTGAACTTGGCGAATTTGACATAGAATTCAAGCCACGACCTGCAATTAAGGTCCAAGCTTTAGCCAACTTCATAGCAGAGCTTACTCCAAGATCCTCAGAAACACCAGTCGGGAGCCCGAACTCGACCACAGGAGTATGGGAAAATTTTGTTGACGGAGCATCCAATAGCTCGGGCTCGGGGGCCGGCGTTATTATCACAAGTCCGGACAAGATTACAGAGATACAATGCGCTCTCAGATTTGAATTCCAGGCTACCAATAACGAAGCAGAGTACGAAGCCGTTGTTATAGCCCTAGAACTCGCGAAAAATCTTGAGTGCAAACACGTCAAAGTTTTCAGTGACTCACAGCTAGTGGTCGGGCAAATCGAGGGGTCTTTCGAAAGAAAGGATGAAAAAATGAGCTTATATTGTTTGAAAGTACATGACCTCCAGAGGCAATTCGTAAGTTGTGAAATTCTGAAGGTAGCCAGAGCCGAAAATGCCAAAGTCGACGCATTATCCAGACTCGTCTTCATGGGTGTTGACGAGCTCGATAGAACCGTGCACATCAAGATGGTTGCAGAACCAAGTATAGCCCAGAAGCCAAGTATCATGGACATCGACCATGAGCCCTCCTGGATGGATCAAATAGTTGATTACATAAGTAATGGAAACATTCCTGCAGACCCTCGGCTCGCCCGAAGCATTTGGTATAGAGCTGTTAGATATTGCATAATTGAAGGAGTCCTGTTCCGCAGAAGTCTCACACTTCCTTATCTAAGGTGTCTCAAACCCTCCGAGTCCCTTCAAGCAATGACTGAAATTCACGAAGGCATTTGTGGAAATCACCAAGGAGCCCGAGCTCTTGCACATAAGTTGATAAGGTATGGATACTACTGGCCAAGTCTGAAGAAAGATGCCACAGATTACGTCTGGAAGTGCGACAAGTGCTATAAGTTTGGCAACATCATACATACTCCTGCTGAGGAACTGACATTCATTCACTACTCAGCTCCCTTCGAGCAATGGGGAGTTGATATTCTTGGGCCTTTTCCCTTAGCCCGAGGACAATTAAAATTTGTAGCTGTGGCAATGGAGTATTTTACAAAGTGGGTAGAAGTCGAACCTCTAGCAACAATTTCAGAACCAAAGCTCAGATCATATATATGGAAGTCCATCATATGCAGATTCGGGATACCAAAAGTCCTCATCACAAATAATGGAAGGCAATTCGACAATCCCCAGTTTAAGAACTTCTGTGCCAGCAATGGGATTGATCATCGCCTGACCTCGGTCTCACACCCACAAAGTAATGGGTTAGCCGAAGTAACTAATCGGATCATATTGCAGGACCTTCGAACAAGGATAGGGGACGCCAAAGGTGACTAGCCTGACATGCTGCCTTCGATACTATGGGCAGATAGGACTTCACACAAGATAGCAACCGGTGAAACGCCATTCATGCTTGCTTTTGGACTTGAGGCTACCATTCCAATTGAGGTTAGCCTCCCCACAATAAGAAAGCTC